AAGAGGAGGAGGAAGTGGAGGGGAAGGGGAAAAAAACACAATGGGGGAAAAAGTCATTTAAATAATTCAATAACCAATCACATAATTTTTGGACATAGAACCAAACTCCAGAGTAAGTGAAGAAAACCCTAAGTGCCAAAACCAGAAAGAAAACTTGAAGTGAGAGCACTGAACAGGGGCTGAAGCCAAAAGGTCTCATGGGTCATCTAAACAGCAGCTAGATAGACCTTGAAGACTGGGCGTTAGAGACTGGGGATCTGACGTCGGCCCAGGGTGGAGGATCGTGTCACAGGCCAATGGAAGCATGGAGCCGGGCTGAACAACCAGGAGAAACAAAATGTTACCCTCATGAAATGTCTGAGAATATCTCTACTCAGGAAACACAGTGTCAGAAAAAGCAACCAACCTATCAAAAAGTACCAACCTTCAAAGTAGCTGGCTGGCAACCAGAGCCACAGCCCTCCTCCCCCGTTCCCTTGAAAAGTATTCTCTAGAAACAGTCTGTAGAAGTAGTCTCTAGAAGTATTTACATTGAATATAAAAATTAGGCAAATACATCCTATCACTTCCACTTCCATGTGCTAGTAGTCCTAACAAATACAATAAGAAAAAAATATATATATAAGCATTGAAAAGAAAAATACACAATTCTATCTGCAGGTGATATGATAGGTTACAGAGAAAACTGAAGCAATTTTATAGACATCTATAAGAATTAATAAATTTATCAAGGTTTGTAGATACAAGGTCAACATACAAAAACCTTTACCTTTTTGCATCAAAAATAAACAATAATAGAAATGAAAAAAAAAGATGCTATTTATAATAGCAATAAAACAGTAAGGTAATATTAATACAAATCTAATAAAAGATGTGCCAAAAAATTCATGGAGAAAATTAACTAAAGAATATGAAAAAAGACCTCAGAGAAAGCATGTTCCTAAATCAAATATTACAACTCAAAAGATAATTCTTCCCAAATTACATTATGAAATCAACGCAAGTCTAATAAAAAAATCCCCAAAAGAATTTTTCCCCAGTGATGCTTGTCAAACTGATCCTAAAATTAATGTGAAAAAATATGAATGTGAATGATTTTAGTGGCAAAAGTTTGAAAAGAAATCCCCAAATTTCTATTAGTAAGGACATGGATGAACAAATTGTGGTGTCTTTGTGTGATAGAATAAAATGCGGCACTTAATATGAATGAGTGGGATTCCATATGTGTTATTAGAGACCCATCTCAAAATATCATCCAGGATCCCTTATGTCCATTTAAATACTGCCAACAAAACCATGATATTATTTAAGAATACATATGTGGGTAAATGAAAATATGAAAACGAACTTTATGCCTTTGGTGAATGGGGCTAGTAAGAAGGGAACTTAAACTTTGTCCCTGAAATATTCCTTTCTTTCACATAAAAAAGTCTGAACTCAAAATGGCAAGATGTTTATAATCATTCATTCTGAGTGGTGGATATATGGGTATTTGTTTTATTACTCTCTGTACTTTCTTCTATTTTTAAAGCTTATAAAGAGAAAAGGGGACGCAGGAAGGGACATGTAACCCAACAGGATAAATAGGACTTTAGGGTAACAGCACCCGGGGAGAGGAATGTTTAAGGCTCTCTTCTCAGAGTCACAGGGAAAATAAATGTTCCTTGAATTTTATGCGCCATGCTTTTCACACGAGTCCACAGCTCTCCAAGATCCCTACCAGTGTGGGGAGAGAAGCAAGCCCATGACATTTCCAGGGCACCTTACCGTGTCTAGCTCCGATTCCAAGCTGCAGTTTTTAATAAGTGGGAACACCTCACTGTATTTGCTTGGGTAGGCAGACGCTAGGTAGCCCTTCACCTGCTCCAGGTTGCTGGCTGTCAAAAAGCCATCTTCAAGGTCAAAAGAATTGGTCAGCAGCAGAATCACCCTGCAGAGCAGACCATCAGATCGACCTTCACTGGTCAGAAAGGCTGCGGTCACCAAAGCCTCCCGTCAGCCTCTCTTTCTAATTAGGTCGGGAAAGGGAACCTGTTGCTTGGTGACCTTTTTAAAGGACAGAGTAATTTTGAATGGTTCTGAAGATGCCTGAGATATGAACACTGATAACGATAGAAACCAGTCATAGCTAGTCGGTTTTAACTCATGGACCAGCATAGTCTGATAGAACTTTCTGTGATAATTGAAATATTTTCTGTCTGCGTTGTCCCGTTTGGTCCCCACTGGCCACATGTGGTGACTGAGCACTTGGATATGGCTAGTGCAAATGAAGAACTTACTTAAAGATACATTAAGTTATTTAAATATAGATTAAGTTACATTAATTTAAATCCAAATTTGTAAATAGCCACTTGCAGCTAGTGACTATCAAACTGGACGACATACTTCTTGGATGAAGTTCTGTCTTCTGGGTAAGGGGCTGCAGAAAGTGAATCCTGTAATCTCTGTGGCTCAGCTAGAGAGCTCTTGGTCACTTCTTAGGTAGGGGATATGGGGCAGAAGAAAGTAAAGTTTGTTGAAGGCCCTGTCATGCCGAGCGCTTTGGGCACATTAAAGCGCCCTCCTCCCTGCGAGGCAGACGCTGACGTGCCCTGGGCCCCTCAGCTACTGGAGGTTGTCAGGGGAGCCGGGTCTGAACCCTGGACTGAACACTTGAAACTGGTGCTCATTGCCCGGCTCTTGCCTTCTTGGCATCGACCTCTTCCCTGGTGCCCTTCAGCTTAGAGCTCTGAGGGGGCCTGTGGCTCCGTGGGACAGCCCAGGCTTACTTGTTTAAGCAGCTTTCATAGTTGAGGGTGGCCTTGAAGCCATAGATGGAGAAGGTCACAATGCTGGCAAATATGGAGGTGGCGCTGTTGATAAGGGACACGATGATGGCGTGCTTCTGGCAGTTGTTGGAGGGCTCGTTGTAGCTGGCGAAGGCGATCAGGCTGCCCATCCCCAGGCCAAGGGAGAAGAAGATCTGGGTGGCTGCGTTGATCCAGGTCTTGGGGTTGGCCAGCTGTTCCATCTGGAAGGTCAGCAGGGACAGGGCTGAAAAACCCTGGGTGGGAATCTCAAGTTCTCAGACTCAAAAAAGGAGGGAGACCCAGAGAGGGGAAGGAACCTGCCACAGCACATAGCCAGGGCAGGCAGGCCTAGGGCTGGGGCCTCATGTCATCTCCTCCACAGCACCCTGCCCAAGGTGAACACTGGTGCAGCTGAACAGCGTAGGGTAGAATCATTTGGAAACACACTGAGCCCCTAATTCATAAGCAGGTGCTACATGGGTCTGGGCATTCAGAGATGGAAGTGGCATGGCCGACATGCCCCACCCCAAAGACATAGCACCCCCACAAATGAGCACTGGCTGTGGGGTGCCTGCAGAGTGGAGGTCAGGGAGGGATCACAGAAAACCCTGCAGGGAAATGGCTGCATGGAAGCGTGTGAGCAGGCCAGCGAGATGATGGGAGTGATGCTTAGGGCAAAGAGCTCGGTCAACAGTCTGGAAGGGCCCTGGGGCAAGGCTGGGCTGCAGTGAGCTGGGGGTCAGTGAGGATGGTAAGGAGGGGCTGGAAGAAAGACTCCATCTGCCCCAGAATCAGCATCAGAGGAGATGCCCACAGGCAGTCCACACCACTCAGCAGAGCCCAGGGGGCTCACACCAGCCTCCCTGGGTACAGCTTCTGCCCACTCTCCATCGTCCCCTCCCCTCCACTCATTCCACAAGTTGACAGAATGAGCGAGGGTGCCATTTGGGCCACCCAATCCCCAGCTTGTACCTTTGGAGTGAACATGTACATCAGACCATTGGTGGCTCCATGGAGTGTGAGGCCCCGGCCTAGATAGATGATGAGCACGCAGTAGGGCAGCAGCGCTGTGAAATACATCACCTGGGGGCCAGAGGGTGGCGTCAGCCTCCTGGCCCGCACCCCTAGGGAACATCACCAGGTCTGGGGTATTCAGGCCGTACCACCCACTGCTGGCAGCTAGAGAAGGTGGTGAGATTCTTGGTCTGACACAGGTTCTGAGCTAGGGCTGGAGAAATGGCTGTGGGACGTTGGCACCCACATCGGTGACCGGTAGGAAATCTCTTATTCACTAGAGAAGAGTCAGTAGGTAACAAGGCCCTGCCTTTACCCTCCCTTCCACCTAACCTTATTCCAGAAATGATTTGAGGGTGACACATCCACAAAGCTGTGTCAATCATATTAACACTTTAAAATCGTTAGATAAAGAAATCAGCGAGAAGAGAAAACCTGGGCACTCCAGTAATAAGGCCAAAGGGAAAGGGAGCCCACAGAGTGTGGTGTGAGTTTCTACCCAGGGTCGGAGCTTCCTAGAGGCCTAGCAAAGCAGGAAGGACAATCACTTACATGATTTACATTATGTCAAAAAGGAAAAAAAAATCAGGGTTTCAGGGGGGTAGTACTAGTCTTTCCTGCCTGAGGGATTGGCCAGGAAGGCTCAGAAAGGAAAAGTAGTAGTAGCTCAAAGGACAGTGTCCCCATGACAAATACAATAGGGATGCAGCCATCTGATTTTGATGGCAACTCTCGTGAAAGGCCTCACTTCCTCAGGCTTTAACAGTACACACAAATGGAACTTTTGTCTGCCAAATCTTTCCCCACTGACTGCATCCCAATTCCATGATATCTTATGCTCAGTTTTCACAGCTTTGGCATTAGACTGTTGCGCTCTGGCTAATGTAAGCTTTTCCGAAGCCTTAGAAGAGAGACCTTCATAGGCATGTATATCCACCTAGGACTGGAAGTTGTTCTGTAAATCTACTCGTATGTGCCTGGAGCCTGTATGTAAAGCAAAGAAATATGCAAGATCTTTTTTTGTGTGAGTTCTCTTAAAGTTTAGGTTCTCCTGTGAGAAATATAGCTGGTGACCCATGTCCAGCTTGAATGGACTGGGTCCTGGCTTGAATGACACTGGGTCCTCAGATGGAGGCATGGCACCATCTTCCTATGAACTTTCAAGGCCACCACAGTGGTACTCTGCCCTCTTACCCTGGGGCTGGCAAGCAGAATGTGAGGTGTGTCTTTTATCATTGATTCTTAGCTGAGGTGGTTGTAACTTGAGAAGAGTAATAAAACCCATTCTGAAAAGACAAGGTACATGGCCTGTGGTCTAAAGGGACTCAGAGGATGAAGAGAGAAGGGTTGGCCACTGTCTATAACAGTGATGATAAGCACACAGTAGGGCAGCATCAGTGGGCACTTAGCAGGACTTAGGGCAAGCCCCTGGGATTCCCTCCTTCCCCCAAGTAAGCATGTCTCCCAGAGACTCTCTGGAGTCCTGGCCAAAGTGCCTCACTTCTCTCTAGTCAAGTATTGCAAGGAACCATTTCTGACCACTCTACAAAAATTCTAGGAGGAAAGAAAGGAGATTCCAACAGAAGAGGCCGGGAAATGGCATACAGTCCCTAACAAGATTAGTCCCCCATAACAGAACTGTTGGGGGACTACTGTCCGGAGAGGAGGTGGCTGATGCAGAGCAGGAAATAGACGGTGAGAATAGGAGAGAATAAGTAAGCTTTCCTGGCATGACATGGTCTTTTAGCTTTAGGGGCTAAAATGTTCACCAGTACGGGGTCTGGGAGACCAAAATAAAACGTCCTGCCAGACCTGATGCTGGAATTGTCACTTGGTCTCTGGAATGCCATGGGTACTTCTGGTCTGGTTCCTCAAGAAAAACATGTCAACTCAGGTAGTCAAGAGGGTGGGGACAGGTGGACTCTGGACTCTTAGGACTTTCAGCAAGGTAAAGTTGGGATTAAGTCCCAAAAGGAATAGAGAGAGCAAATGGGAGGTGGCTCACCAAACCAAGACAGTGGGAAGTCCCCTGGGGGTAAAGCAGAGCTCTGCCCAGCTCTGTCCTCACTAGCTGTGCCCTCAGGCTGGTCACTGTTTCTGGGCCTCAGGTGAGTGGGACCACGAAGGGCTATTGCCAGAATGAGACATGTGGGGGTGCTGAAGTCATGGTGGAACTGCTAGAAGGAGTGAGTGCAGGAAACGGGGCTTGCTGGGGTGCGGGGCACCGGCTGAAGCTTGACACAGGTGGCAGGTACTGGAGACACTCAAAGCAAACCTGCTACATCTGCATGGACAGGCTGGAGTGAAAGGATCATGCCAGCCCAGGGGGAGTGGGAGCCTGACGACTTGCCAAGATGGAAAGGGTCTTGAAGCTCAGGCCTGACAGCTCTGCAGGACCCTGAAAGCAGCTTAGGGGAACGGTCTCAAACTGAGGTGCACATTGGGGTCATGCGGGGAACTTTCAAGCCTCCCGTCACACCCCAGACTGACTCCTTCTGGGGGCAGGACTGCGGTGTGAGATACTTGAAAGCTCTCCAGGCAATACCAAGGCAGCCAGGCAGCCAGGCAGCCAGTGGCCAGGGTGTGTCAGGGACAGCAGTCATTTAAAGTCCTAAAGAAAGGGAAATCTCACTGTTTAGTTGCTTGGGCAGTATGGGTTTGGGGCCAGCTGGTACAGCAAGGCTCTTACTCTCAGTGAATAAGTCCTCCTTCCAACCTTAAGAGTGGTGATTCCAAGCACCTTTGGCTGTCAGTAGTCACCTAGTAGGTGATTTGTGCCAGCCCCACTGTCCATGCCCTCTGCCCTCAAGTGTGGAACATGCCCCTTTGGCGTCGCCCTGCCACCCCACCTTGCCGGTGGACGCAGTGCCCCTCAGGATGCACAGGTACACCGTGAGCCAGGCCAGGATGAGGCAGAGCGCCTGCTCCCACTGCACGGCCCCGCTCTCCTGGATGGATGGCGAGATGTTGAGCGTCTTCCTGTACCAGAAGTACTGCGTGGAGGACGCCGCCTCACACTCCTCCTCGTAGCCTGTGCGGTTGCTGTTCAGCGGGCAGACCGACCACGGCAGGGGATCCTGTGGCGGGGAAACAAGCAGCACGTGGAGCAGTGAGGGCCAAGGCCAAGGTCAGAGTGGAGGGGATGGGGGCCCTGACAGGAGGCCCTGCAAGGACTGAAGGATGCCAGTCCCCAAGGGATAGGGGGCTAGAGCCCCTGAGGACAGGCAGGGAGCCAGAGAGCCTGTGGGGGCACAGAGGGGGCAAGGAGGGGGCTGGAGGAGGGGCCTGTTCTCATCTCAATTCTACAGATGTTTGCGAGGACCACTGGACTCTGTAGTGGGTCTAAGAGACAAGTATCAAGTGGACAATGGCTCCACCAGATAGGATGACAGAACTCTGACCCACCACCTTTGCAGCCACCAGCCCAAGAACTCTAACCACAGTGTCTACAGCCTTGGCCCAGAGAGGTCAGGACTTGATCAATGACTAACTAATAATAGAGGCCCTATTTTTTACTAACTCAGGACCAACCAGAGAGGGCCAAATATACCCCCGTCCTTAATCACAGACTATCCCACTTCTGGCTCGGTGCCCATACCACTGTGGTTACAGCACCAGCCACACACACCAAGGCTGGTGGGTTTGAATCTGTCTCAGCCAGCTAAACAAGAATGAAAACTGCCAAAAAAAAAAAAATAGCTGGGTGTTGTGGCGGACACCTGTAGTCCTAGCTACTTGGGAGGCTGAGGCAAGAGAATCACTTATGCCCAAGAGTTGGAGGCTGCTGCGAGTTGTGATGCAATGGCATTCTACCGAGGGAAACAAAGTGAGACTCTGTCTCAAAAAGAAAAAAAAAAAGAATATCCCACTTACAATTAGCTCTTCACAGTGTCCCCTGCCAGCCACCTCTAATCAGGGCATACCTGGAGCCCTTCTTTCTCCACTGTAAGCTTCCCCCTTCCCTCCCTGTGGCATGCTCTGAATAAGGAGCCCCAGCTTGATCTCATCTGGAAAGCCTTTGTATATTTCCACAAGTCCCCAGTGAGTCCTGGGATGACTGGGACTTGGGTTCTCCCCTCCGTAACTGGCAGTGGAGAGTGAAGACTGGCATTTCCTCCAATGGACATTAGGTTTGGAAACTAGAAGGAGGTGAGGTTCATTCCCCAAAGCCATCTTGACTGTCTGAGCCAAGAGAACCTGGTGCCAGAGAGTCCCTCTAGCTTGAGTTGAGTGATTCCTGGAGCAGTGAGACTCCTGGACTTAGCTGGGTGGGACCAGTAAGATCCTTGCTGGGGATTAAAGTGCCCCTTTCTTGAGACAGTTTACTGTCACCTTTGGGAGATGGCCAAATTATTCTGATCATGTTAAGATGAGACATGTTGCTTCCATCTGTCAAAACGTACCTCTACTATAAAATCTATAACGCCTACACCATGTGTGGCAAGCCCTTGTTGGTGATGCCACTGGGCAATGTACACCTGGCCCAACCATACATGACAGCCCTACACAGAGAAGGGGAGACAGTCCCCAGACTCTAAAGTAAGAGGAGCTGCTCATCAGAAGTCTGAGGAGAGCGGAGCTGTGGCCAGTCTTCATAGGTCTCTGGGGAGTTCCATGCAGCTAAGCTGAGGGCAGAGAATCCTGCCTGCCAGGGATGTGTGCAACTAGGCAAGCTGAGTAGGGCTCATTAGGAAGTCAAAGGGGTGTGGATGTAGCACCTTCCAAGCATAGAGGCCAAGTCAGGGTCACTGGAGTCATTCACCCAAGCACAGAGTCAAGGCTATACCCAAGCACTTGAGGGGCAAAATGGGATCAGTCCATAGTCCACAGCCAGCCTTGCCTTGAACTTTGAGGAAGGTCCTGGCTCTGGGTAAAAAGGTAAAGCATGGCCTGGTTAGCTTTTGTCTCCTTCTCATCTTTTCCTATCTGGGAAGGAGCCAAAACGAGGTGGTTCCTGAAAGGTGAATGGGGGCAGTATGACCCCAGGAGAGAGAGGGCAGGAGCTGGGAAGAGAAACGAGGCCCTCATTTGGCGATGCCACTGTGCAGTGTACAACCTACCCAACCATACATGACAGCCCTGCACAGAAGAGGGGAAACAGTCCCCACCCAGACTCCAGAGTAAGAGGAGCTGCTCCATTTCTACCCAGCAGGCTGGGGAGAGGCAGAGCTGTGTCCAGTCTTCACTAACTTCCTTGAGCACCAATAGCTCAACCTCTTCCTAAGCCCACACACTCAGACGTCTAGTTAGACAAAATCCCTCTTGTCTTGGATACAACAACAGGCTTTGATGTGGAATTGGGGTTCTCTCTTTCTCCTCTGATTTCCAGCCCCTTCCACATAATCAGACGTGTGTGGTGTGAAATGTTTAGCTTTGGAATTAGCCCCTATGGTGTGTTACATGGTAACAATGGTCCTCCTAGGAGAACTCTGGGGTCTGCAGGGAAAAAGAGAGACTCAGTGTGGGCTCAGAAACTAGAGGACAAGTGACCTTGGAGGACAGTGATCTTGCAGGAAGGCGGAGAGCAGCTGGGGAGGAGGAGGTGGCCATTACTGTCCTGCTGGGTTGGTAACTCCATCCCAGCATCCCCCCACAGATCTCCTACATGCCCACTATGCTGTGGTTCTTAATATTTTAGGGGGTCGCATATTTCAGAAAGAATGCAATGAAAGGCGTGGACCTGCTTCCCAGACATGTACACACCTGCACACACACACACACATATTCACACCAGCACAATGTGGCATACGGAGTGAGGGGTCTGTGGAACTGGTGCAGAAGCTCCACCTGGCTCTGGCCCAGGCTGCGTGGCTTCCCGCAGCTCCTCGCACCACTTACCGGCTCCTGTGGGGCTGTCACCCTGACCTCCTCCACCCCGTCCCCAGCTGGGTGGCCCTGCTTTGCTCTCCCTTTCTTGCTCACCTGGAAGGAGTGGAAGAGGTACCAAAAGGCCCAGGCGTTGATGATGTTGTAGTACATGCAGAGGAAGAAGGACACGACCACGCTGGCCACCCCTGTGGGAAGCAGAGGGCCGTGCTGAGGGGCAGCCCCTTCCCCTCTGCCTGGACCAGGCGGCTGTGGCCCTGTCCAGTGTGCACTCCCAGGACGTCTGCAGTGACTGTCCTGGGGACTGCAAGTCCTCCCTTCACCAGGTCTGTGTGGGGACTGAACATGACCAGACACCTCATAAAGGGCTTTGCTTTTCCCCAATCTCTGTCCTCATCTTCTGGGACGTGAGGCTGATGACATTTTCTTGAGCTATCAGTGCCAGGTACTGTGCTGGGTAAGTACTTTATGGCCTTTGGTGCTCACAACAGTACTGTTTCCATTTTGCAGAGGAGAAGACTGAGGCACAGAGCTTGCCCCAGACCGCCTAGCTAGTAAGTGTCAGAACTAGGATTCACACCTGTGGGAGAAGCCCTTTGCCACTGCCACCCTTGTGCTGGATAGATAGCTGCTCCCTCCTTGGCTCACCTTGGTTGAGTCACTTGGGCCCTATCTTTCCTGAGGTGGCAGGGAACAAGGGTATGAGGAATGGTGGGATTACAGGTAGCCCCTAATCTGGTCAGGAATACCCAAAGCCCAGGGTGAAACCTGGGAGCAGAGAGAGGGTTGGCAACCAGTGGTCCTCTGAAGCTGGCCCACACCAGCCCTTGAGCTCCAATGACTCCACCTCTCTCCAACCCCACATGCTGGGACATCTAGTCAGTAGTTTGAAACAGGCCATGGTGGGAGTAACAGGTGTCAGCAACTGCTACAACTTAGGGCTTTTTCCTCTGCCCCACTGCAAGAGCTGGTTGTTAAACATTTACCAGCATAGCACCTCCCTGATTGGCACAAGCATCTGGTATCTTTCCTATGACACACAAAATGCTGCCTCTGAGAAGTCCTCTGGGATTGCTTATTCAGACAGATTATAAAATCATATACTTCTATGTTAAAAATTAATAGCTGTTTAAGATGGAGAGGCAGTTTTTGGCTTGGAGATTATTTGTGAGGCCACTAGACACACTTCTTCTGCATGTGGGGCTAAGTCACATGAAAGCTTATACCCTCTTTGCTCCTACAATGTTTGCTTTCTTGCCTTCTTTCAGATGGGAGGGGTGAGCAGCACAGACCATGGCCACTGCTGGTCAGAGTTCCTCCTGCTTGCAGAGGCAGCCCTGGGTTGGGAGGACTGTGCGGGGCAGGCCAATGATGGTGTGAGGTAGCTCAGGAGTGGCATGACATAAAGAAGCGCCCTCCCACTACCTACACAGGTGTGCTTAGCTTCTGGATACTGGAGTTACCAAGGGCTCCCCATAACCCATCAGCAGTGTGATGAAGACTATATGAGCTCATGCACATACATCATCTACGCAAGCACACAGTAGGTGCTCACTAAAAGAGAGATCCATTAATTAGCAGGTATAGTCCTTTGAGTTCCCAGAGCGTTCATTAGCTAGGACTTGGAGTTAGAGATCCTTTGTTGGATAGCTACTTCCCTTTTACAGATGACCAATCCAAAGTCCAGAGAAGAGAAGCAATGTGGCATCAGCTCCCCAGGGGGTATTTTTCCTCCTATCCCACTGTCCTGATGTAAGAAATCCGGCCTCTCTCAGCTCACAGTCTATGGTACCCCCTGCTGGACTGTTTGTCCTTCCCAAGCAAGGGCTCTCTCTTGGACTTTGTGCTAGGCCCTTGATCCAGAAGCTTTGCTGATGGGTTCCCCACCCCACCAAGCTGCTCAGGATACAGGGTGGGGGTCTCTGGGTGGGAGAGGACTGGGGGACATCACGTACCGACACCACTGAGGTAAGGGCTGATGGTCCTCCATGCTCCAATGCTGCCCTGCCGCATGTGCTGCCCCACCGCCAGTTCCAGGTACAAGAGTGGCATTCCCTCCACGATGAGCATGATGAGGTAGGGGACCAGGAAGCTACCTGTGGGCATCCATAGCTGAAATCCAGGCCATCACCGGTAGGCTTTTCTCTGCCACCCACCCAACCTCTGTGCAGATGCCTTTCCATCTATTTTGTCTTTCAACTTGCTAATGCATCCTTCTACCTTTCTGCCTGCACATTCTTCTACCTTCCCATATGTCCATCTTTCTGCCATTTTTCTTATTGAACTGTCTACCATTCATTTATCCATTTTGCTTCCATCTTTCCATCCATCCATCCATCCATCCATCCACCCACCTATCCTTCTTTCCATCCTTCCATCCGTCCATTCTTCCAACCTTTTTCCTTTCTATTCATCCATCCATCTGTATGTTTCCCCATCTATCCATGGATGACATGCAGCCATGTCAGTTATGAAATCTGTAAATACTTCCTCTCTGAGGTTGTAGATTGCCCCAGTCCCAAGCTCCCTGAGTGCCTTCCTCAGTGCCCTCCTGACTTAGCCCCTCTGCCAAAACCCCATTTCATCTTCTATTTCAGCAACTAATAGTTGATCAGGGCCAGGACCACTGAGTTATTAAATATTTTGAACATCATATCTAAATCCATCCAGCCCATGTCTGTGCACTTCCTTGGGGTTTTGGGCACAGCCCTGATGGTGTCCCCATGTAAGGCAGTATATAAAAAAGCCATTTCCTAAGCACTTGTTCTGGGCCAGGCCCACATCCCATCTGGTGTGGGATGGGAGTAGCAGCTCTGCTCCCTGCCCTTGAGGGATCACCTGGGCAGAGGAATTTCAGCTGTATCATTATTGTCCAGGACCACGGATGTCCACTAGGCCCAATGTCTTCTGAGATGAGTCAGGGGATTTGAAAGCCCAGTAGACAGAGCTCCAGGGCACCTCTTCCTTTTGTGGAGCATCTCCAGATGGGTCTGTTTTATACAGGGGCCTTCAGCCTAAAATTCCACTCTAACCAAAGGTACTATGACTAATTGAATTTTCAGACTCTCTAGTTCCCAAGGAGCCACCTGCAGAGAAGCACCCTCAGTGAGGGTGGGACCCAGGGAGTGTGAATGGAGCTATGGAAGCACTCCTTCACTGCCAGGCATACGGACATAGGCAGGCAGCCTGTAGCCACCCACCACACCTGTCGCACAGATGGCTGCCCCACTGATTCTCCTGTGGGTCCTCCTTCCCTGCTCATAGTCCCTTGGTCATCTTTCCCTCAGCTTCTGGCTCCTTGGCAGTGGACCTGACAAAATGTCCAGTGGAAAAAGAGGGAGGAACTTCTGATTAAAATCACACCCAGATACCACAGCTGCAGAGATTAAGGGCTGGTTGTAGATGGAACTGGCTCCTCAGGTATTGAGGTCAACAATGAAATATATATGCTCACATAAACATCTAATATTCACCCAAATGCCTCCACTGTATTGATACAGATGTGCTGTTCTTTAATCTATTTTTCTCCCTCTGTGGTATTCCACAAGCACTCTCCTGAGCACACAATGAACATTTGCATTACCCCTTAAATAGCTGCACAGCATTCCACTCTGAAAACAAGCCCAGAATGCATTTTGGGCACTAGAGTTTTTTCTAGTTTCCTGCCCTCTTAAAGCTGTGGGACGGCTCAGCGCCTATAGCTCACCTGGCTAAGGTGCCAGCCACGTACACCTAAGGTGGCGGGTTCGAATCCCCAGCCCGGACCCGCCAAACAACGACG